AGTAATTGCTTTTTGAGTAACCCATTTCACTAAGGAGGACAAATAATTATTATGGAAGTTGTAAGGATCCCCGTAGTAATAAGTACCTAGGGTAGTCACCAAAGACCAGTAAGTAGGTGGTCTACACAAGAATGTATTAAAGGGATGTACTTGGTGTTTGGTGAATATTTTTATACACTAAGCAAATGGCTTGAGGTGACCAAACAAAGATAAGGACCAGAAATAATTTTTAGTTACCTACCTTTTCAGAAAGTTAAGCTTTCTGATCCAAGATTTGTTCACTTTAAAACAAAAGTGAGTTCCTTCAACATTAGAGGATGAAACTTTATCATCACTTCCCAACCATCAGAAATATAAAGTCAGATGTATCATAGTATCTACCTTAGAATACTAATCAAGGAGAGAAGAGATATAAAAGTTCACACTCCATTTAAAAGGAACACTGTAATTTCACAAGATTTGGTTTGGAAAAGGGAAGCCAGCCACAGAAAGAAAAAGGCAAAATGAGAAGGAAAATAAAACCATGATGACTTTTCAACCCTCTGGAAAGGGGTTTTAATTATTTCAGGGAGCAGGATGTCAAAGTCCATGAGGTGGAACTTTTCCCCCACCTTCTCTGGGAGAACTGCATCCTCAGACCATGGCCAATTGAGGTTGAGATGGCTTATTAGCAAGCCTGCCACTGCTTGCACACGTCCCAAAAGGGTCCACAGAGGGCCCAAGTGTCTTTTGTATCTTTCCACATCAACCAACGGTTTCATTTCAAGCCATTTGCTTTGGATGAGGATGATCAAGGGCAGCAATTGAAACAGAACAAGAGCGAAAATCTGAAATGACCACCACAGGCAATGGAGCAATTGCAAAGGAAAGAATCACAAACCCAAGCAGTAACTTACGGTAGCTACTTTCGCTATCGCTGGCATTAGAAGAAACATGTTCTGCAAGAACAGCACAGCAAATTAAAGAGATACCAAGCATCGGAGAGCAGCCAGAAGGCGAAGGAATACACTCATGCAAGCCTACTACGAGGGGAAGCGAGAGGCACGGGGAAGGCTGCGGAAGAGGTGGCGTTAAGAAGACTCAGAGAAGATACAAAAGATGAAAACTTTATCTCCATTTGACAAGAAGCCACTACATGACTGCCAGGTCTTCTGCTTAGCAAACAGGAAAGTAGCTTTCATCACAAAAAATAGAGAAGGTCAACTTGAGCGCTTTTCTTTTTATGTCTGCTTTGCCCTATCCACATGGGCCTGATTTTCCAGATTCATGTGACAGAGGTCAACGTATCTCAGCTGGATGCTTCCTGACTCTAAGATCAGAAGCTCCTGGTATGGAGACACTGTTTGCTTACAAATTTTTTGTTTCTTGATTTTAGCCTCTTTCTAGGTATTTTGCGGGAATACTTTATTTCAGATTGCCAGTTGGTCCCTGGGACCCCTTGAAATTTATTTCTATGTAAATGCTTCTCAAACTAATTCTCAGGGTGAAAAGGGACTATTGAAGATTTTTCCTACTTCAGGGAGTGAGGAGAAAAATCTTGGAGGAAGAAATGAGTCACTGAAAAATGGTTTAGGAATCAGTTCAATGTTTTCTTGATTTTATTTTAAGATCCTTGCTTGGAGAGCTATTAGATTCTGGAGGGATGAAACAGGGAGGGGATAGATGGTCTGATACCAAGCACAGGTCCTGGCATGAAGTATGTTTTTAATTCATGTTGAGTAACTTGCTTTTACAGTGATATTTCAATTTTTTTTCATAAAACACAGTTTAGCCAACATAACAGGGCTATATATGCCAGAATTAGAGTTTTTACTTCCAGAAATCATTTCTCTTATACTCTGTACTAAGTTATAGAAGATAAATTCATCAACTTATCAAGTTCTTTGTATATCAGGTTAATTAAATGAAGAATATACGACTGTTTTGAAGCTTGTTATTGAAACTCATTAGCAACAACTTCAGGCTTTTAAAAAGTGGCAACTGTTGTACATTTTTAGAAAAAGGATAAGAATATAGAACATTATTCTCTCCCTAATAGTAAAAAAGTGCTTTAAAATGTATTTGATATTATAGATTCTCACCAGTTGGATGGATTAATCTTTTTATTTAGCTTCATTGAGGTGTAATCAACAAATTATAATACTTTTAAAGTGAACAATGTGATGAGGGATACATGTAGATATTGTGGAAGGATTCTTACAATTGACATGATGCATCCTGGAAGGATTAGTTTTAGAGAATGAAATGGAGGAAAAGCAAAACATGGGTTAAAATCACATGAATTATTGCTCTTTGTGTTGGTGTATGACCAGGACTACGTTGCTAATTTAGGCACAAATTTTACAAATGCAAAGGGGCACGAGGGAAAGAAGTGTGAATGGCTGGGTGCAAGTCTGTTTTCTGTTATTGAAAAAAGGTCAAGGTACACACCCAACAATGGTGTATCTTCATATACACAATTATCTTAAGTACCTTGAGTCAGGGATGACAGGGTTTTTGTTTTGTTTTGATTTACTTTTAAAATAACTGAGAATGAAGCTGAGCTATCTATGCAGTGTTTTATCGAGTATGAAGTATCAAGAGTTTATATAACAGAATTTTTCCATTTTGTAGGTAAAGAGAAATTGAAAATATGTTCTAGCTAAAGTCCAAATTATGGTTACCAGTAGCATTAATTGGCAAATAACTTTACCTAGTGAAATCTGTTCAGTTTTTAAAAAGTAAACAAACATTTGCACATCCTGGATTTAAAAGGTCATCATGCATATTTTTGACATTCTAATAGCAACTAGTTTTCAGTGATGTTCATTTATTAACAATATATTAAAATGCTTCTCCTCCTCACCCTGCCCCCTTTGAAAATCTAGAAAATGGTGGTACTTGATACTATCCAGATAATGTTGAGATCCATATTTGAACTTCAGCCACTAATTCAAGAAAAATTTCATGACATATTCCATATAGAGACTCAAAGATAAAGTTTTCATCTTTAAAAAGATCAGTAGTTACTCTTGATCAGATTTTGTTCTCTATATCTGTATATAAAAAAAGGTCCAAATTAACAATCTGAAGGATGAAGCATATCATTACAGTGTTAAGAAACAGCTCTTGAAAACAAAGTCCAGCTCAATGCTATTTTGTTTTATACAAATGAAATGAATAGCTTCTAAAAATACTGCCCGTAGCTGTTAAATAAAAACAAAACAAAATAAACAAAAAAATGAGCATGTGATACAGTTGCAAAAGACACAAAACTGTTCTTATTTCATTGGTGCCTACACAATGGAGTTAGTAATAAGGAAAGAAAAATCATACCATATTAACACAGTATTATTAATTTTTATAGCTCAGTGCAATGAGACACAGACTAAAGGCATTAATAAGTAGAAAATTTAAAGGTTTAATAAACTTTATTTTGCAGTCTATACTATAAAATGAAGACCTGATTATGTAATGCAACTAATAAGTGACTGATAGAAAAACATATTAATACATATCTAAAACTCTATCATACAAACGTTTCAAGCAGGATCACTGCAAGTCAGAAAGAAAAATCAATCATAGTTAATAACAAAGAATTATCCAGGAAGATCAAATAGCTTAATGTTTATTTTTTGAGAATGCATGTTCCCTTTGACAATAAAATAGCTCCTTTACTAATAGCAAAGTACAACCCCATTATGGCAGTTGGCAAGGTCATTAAATATTTCTGGCTAAAAAGGCAGAAGAAAGCTACATAAAGTACATTTCTGCTTTCTTGTTCTAGAACATTTAGCTCACCCTTTCTTTGAACATGGCTTCTTGCTCTCTGGTGTTAGGCGGCAGAGCAAGGGATGCCATGGTTGGCATCATGACCATGTTGGCCACATAACATGGTCAGAAAGGGAAGGTGTGAACTGCAACAGAAGTTACAGTGCCTGACACATTTTGCTTTTAAATGCTGACATGCAGAACAAAACGGTTGAAATTACTCTGTAGGAGCATTCACAGCTAGGTAACATAAAACTCGTATCTTGTGCATGCTAGGAGTGAAAGGCCCTCAAGAAAAGGAACAAAAGCCAAACTCAAAAGGAAAGGTAAAGAAAAGAAAAGTTACAGTGACCATTCCTGGGAACTTACTCAGAGTCTTTGTTCCATAACCGTCGTCACCTAATCCGGGGATGTCCTGCATAGAAGTCCCCAGAGAGAGCAATGAGAGAGGAAGAACAGCCACGGAAGAGGAAGGAAGAAGTCAGTGGAGTTGAAATGGATACTACCATGACAGACCGTGTTGCCTAAGCAATCTGGATCCCACTCTTTCTTTTTCTGAAACAACTTTCACCCCAAACTCCCTGGGCTGAGACTCAAAGATTTGTAAAGCAACTCAAAAGATTAGAAGTTAAAAAAATTCAGGAGACTGTTACAAAAAAGAAGAAGATTCACCAAATGCCATTTTTGCTCGCTGTTAACATTGCCACAGAAATGTACCACTTAGAGTGATACTCCACTCCCAAGTTTCAAGACAAACTCTTAGATTTAGTATCCACCAATACAAGCTCACTGCTCAGTAAGTATTTAACATTTGCTGGGAGAAGAAGTGTAAACTCAGGCCTAGTAATCAATATAGAGTATGAATTATTCGCTCCCAGTGAGCTAGAACTCAAAACACACAGGTGGCAATGGATCCAATATTTCTGTTCAGAAAATAATCTGTCTCAAGCCCTCTAGAGCTGTGTGATAGGAAAGACAAACTGAACCCAGCTGGTCACAGAAAAATGCTGGTTGGAAGCAAAGTCCCAGCTTCCTGAAGTCCCTCTGCAATGCATTCTGTTAAGAACCACACCAAGGGAAGGATCCAGACTGCAGCCAAACACTGGTCACAGTAGTAAGCCCTGACCTGCCTGCCTACCATGTTTGTTTGCCTAGGCGTGTGGCGTGGGAGAGCCTACATCATGGGTGTTGCCCGTGAAGAATTTTTTCTCTTGTGTTGCATGTGACATTCTCTTCGAGAATCTACTTACGTTCAGGATCACTGGTTTCCTGCTCACTCTGCTCCTTGTTCTTGTAGAATGGGAATTTTCGTGAAAAGATGAAGCTCTTTTTACGCTTGTCATTGAATGACTGTGAAGGAGAAAAGGCATGGGGCAAAAACAGGGGACGTCTAATTGTTGTCACACTCATGCTGACAAAACAACTAGTTTGTAAAAGCAGAGAGAGCTGTAGTGACGCAAGTAGATAGTCTAAAGAGGTGCCAGAGGGTTCCAAAAGGCAGATTTTATCTACAAGGAATGTAAATTCTTAATGATGACACTTTGGGAAAAAATGTCTCCTAGTGAAAAGACTAGTTGCAGGCAAATGATGATGAAGGAAAAGTCTTAAATTGTAAGAAGACGACCCAGAGCTCTGTCTTGGCTCTACAGCTTGTTAGTCCATCACCTTAGGTAACTAAATCTCTCTGAACCTCAGTATCTTCTTCATCTGCATAACGGAGGATAATAATAGCGCTTAGGATGTGAAACTCAAGTAAGGCAGGATAAACATAAAGTGCTATACAAACATCATCTTTTTTATCTTCATTATCATCAGGTAGAAAAAACTTTCTTAGAGATACTAGGCACATTAGTACCTGGATGTCATTTTTAGTAAGTTGAATGTGAGTTACTTCAGCCTGGATTTAATTTAAAACACACAAAGGAGTGTATAGATGTATGATATAGGATATTTATAGTATCACACATAGATCCACGATCATTATTCATTCAAAAGAGATTTTAAAGACACATGAGCTTCACACCCTCATCTTGGAAACAGGGGGCCAAAGGCACAGAGAGGTTGAGTCCCTTGCTAATATCACAGAGTTAGTTGGTGACAGCTAGGATACTGTCAACCAAAATCTGATCTTGAAAGAGTCTAACTTGATATTCACTTGAGCAAGGGAGAAATAATGGTTACTCATCTATATTCTGACATGATAAAAAATACTGTAAGAAGGAATGTCCTTAAAAATGTAAACCACTTCATTAGGTTAAACGAGACTGAATTAAAAGTAATACAGGTATACATAATCTAATACATATATTCGAACTCATTCATTTGCTTGCTGAGAAGACTCCTTAAGAAAATTTCATTTATTCCCACTGTTGCTATTATGTAAATGCTTTGTGGGGTTTCTTCTTCGGGAAATGTGTTCACAGTCATTTTAGAAGCTATGCAAGTCTTAGTAAATTCATATTCACATATCATTTAAAAAATATGTTTCACCAGCTTGATTACCATACTTATTTGACTGGGTCTGAGAGTTACTCTCCAAAGAGCAAGATTTGTTACCACATAGGTATTAAAATGAATGTGCCAACAACTCTGATGGAAATTTGACAGGGATATCCTAAAATAGTTTTAGCAATGGCAGCTGGTAAAAATAAATATAGGGCCAGCAGGGTGACTACTTGGAAGGAAAAGGACTTGTTTGGATGTATATATTTTATCCATTGGTGGGAATCAGTTGCATGCCCTTATGGGTGTGAAGCTTGACTAAACAGTGTAAATAACTTATTTTCTTTGTATAATCATGTGCTCCTATATCAAATATCCATTTTGGTCATCATGTTTATTTAGGAAAAATTAAATTGCTAAAATGTCGGTGCTGTCATTCAGTAATTTATTACTTTGTTTGGTCCTAGGAACCTCACCAAAATCAGTGGAGCTTAATTTTTATGTTCCATTAAGAAGATTCTTAAAAAACAGTAAGTCAAATCTTGAATAATTTTTGAAATTAAGGAATATATTTTATGCTTAACATACCAAGTATTAGATATACATTCTCAGGGTAAAAAGAAATATTACTTCAGAATTTATTACTCCACTGACAGCACTTATTTATGTTCAATATAGTTCTGTCAGACTTGTCATTAAAGATTTGTGTCCAGGGACAAGGCTGGGAACTCCCCCCAAATTTTCCCAGCTAAAAAATGGTAAATCCTTAAAGGAACATTAAATATTCTTGCATCACTCCAGTTTCATGCCACTTTTACATTTCAAGCATTTTAAACTTCAGTAACTGAAAATAAAAGAAAAAAATTATGTAAGAATTAATGACATGTGATATTGCAAGATATGTTAGACATTTAACTTCAACATCATGGATGACTTGTCATGCAAAAAAAAAATTACAAATTTTCATGCAAATATGAAACAATGCCCAAAGGAGTAAAGCCTGGGGTTGAAATGTAGACACAGATGGACAGCATGGAGGTGTTTTAGGGTCAAAATGGGGCCACATGCAAACCACATCATTTAACTTGTCTCATGGGATCAAAGGAAAATGAAAATGTGTTGTCTGTGATTAATTCTTTTTTCTTTTCAAAGCAAGGACTGTATAATGTGTTAACATTTCCCAATTATGAAAATGTTGTGTATCATGAGTCATCTGATTGGGATCTAATAATATTTAGCACCACATCTTTAAGAGAACAGAAAATACATAATTGTTCAAAAATAAAATTATCTAATGTATTAGTCTTATTACCCAAAGTCATTTTGTATTGGAATTAAAGAGTAGGAAATAGAATTATCAGTTGTTAAGTGGCCTTACATTTATGGACACAAAACCAAATCACAACTTCTGTTCACACTCACAGACTTAAAAGTCACATGTTTAGGATCTTAGCTAAACATTTCAAATGTAAGAGGTTATACGTAGCTTATAATGTTCTAACACTAGTCTTTATTTTTTATTAGACATGTATAATACCATTATATAAGCTTTTTGTCACTGGTAATTTTCTTTTAAATTTAAAAAAGGAAAATCTGTTACATGAGTGTTAGGTGAGAATAATAAATTAGCACTTTTACTATTTATAGAGCACATAGCTCTAAAGCAACTGAAGGCTGGTTTACAGCTCTGTTAAACATACTTGATCAATGCTATTTTTTCTCTACACTGCTATATCTTAGATCTTGATCTAATCCTTTCATGGCAGGAAACTTCTTTGAATCGAGACTTTGAAAATACCAATCACATGTGGTAAGTGGCAAGTTGGCATAAGTAAGAATTCCATTTTAGAATTTGGCCTGAATCATTGAGTTCTTATGAACAAAAGTGATACAACAACTACCATTTATTGAGTACTTATTATGTGCAAGGCTTGGTTCTAAAAGCTCTAAATTTGCTAATCTCCACACTAACTTCAAGAGGTTGGTATCATCATTTTCCCCATGTTACAGATGAGGAAACTGAAGTTTACAGATATTCTGTACTTGTCCAAAGTCACATAGTTGATGAGAGGTAAAGTCAGGATTTGAATTTGCAAATATTACTTGTTGCAGATATTGCTGCTTTTAGGAGTAAGAAAAGCTTCTGCAATCCAAGCCTGTTTCAAATATTTATTTAAAATTAATAGCAGTTGACTTTCATGATACCACAATCTGTCATCATTCCCACAGCTTCACAGTTTGGCAGTTATTTTTTGAAGCCATCAGAAGTTATTGGATTCAACCATACTTTTGTAGGTTAACTTTTGATACTCATTCATATTTTTGAGGGCTCTATTCTATTGTTCTTATTCTTATGATAATGTAAAAAATAAAATAAAAAGAATTTCAGTGGGGCAAGCTATGAATGGCAATTAAAAGGTGATTGTTCACACAACAGGCAAATATATAGAGACAAAGTAGATTAGTGGTTGGTTAGGGTTGGGGATAGGGTATACAGAGAGTAGGAAGTGATAGCTGATGAGTATGGTGTTAGTTTTAGGGGAGATGAAATGTTCTAAAATTAGATTGTGGTGATGGTTGCATAACCCTATGAATATACTAAAAAACACTGAATTGTACACTTTAAGTGGGTGAATTGTAAACTATGTGAATTATATCTCAATAAAGCCATTAAAAAAAGAAACCTCTCCCCGACCCGTAAACCATAGGATGGGAGGAAACAAACACAGCATGTTTTAAATTTTATTTAGAGTGATTTTTTTTATATTGAATAGAATGAATTGAAAACACGTCTCTAACCCTTGTAATCAATCAGATATACACACCTTGTTTATCTGATTCTGCTGTTTCTCTGTTAAATGAATACCCTTCATGTTGTGACAGACATTAGAACATCCATACCAGGAGTCAGCATATTATCACTGTCACTCAAAAATCTCTAGGTTGTTAGGCCAAGGGCATGAAACTGCCCAGCATGACCCTAAGTTGTAATGTCATTGCTGCACTGGCTTAAGATAACGTGTCCTTCATGAAGAAAGAAAGGAAACAAAACAAAAACTCAAATTGCTGCTGCTTCCACTTGAATCAAATGTTCTTAAAGACACATGAATGAATCAATGTATTTTCATCTTTTTCATGCAGAAAATTTTAAAACCAGGGATATGTGTCAGTTTCTCTTTTCATATTTTTGTTCATATTTTTCAAATCTCAAATGTTTCTTAGCTCTAAAATGTTGCTTTCATGATATGAATGTTCCCTGGGAGAATTTAGATTGAAATTTGTACTGAGCCCAGATAACACAATTTCTGTGACCTCTCTATCTTTTAGAAATGCTTCTTTCCTCCTAATTTATTCTTGTCTCCCCTCCTCTAAGATAACTGTATTCCCTTTGGAAGGTTGTTACTATAAATTTGGGCCATCACTTTGTTCTATACATATCTCGTTTTTGTATAGAAAAGATAATTTTAAAACAAAGAGATTTAAGAACAAGTAAGAACGAAACAAAGAGATTATTAAAGGAAAGACAAGAGTTGGCTTGAGATACATTTGTTTCCAGAAATGTGTCTATATGGATGTGTGTACACATATATGTGTCTAGAACATTGTCAATTCAAAAAGGGTTCCATTGAGCTCCAATAACTAGTAACACCACACACAAAAAAGATAATCAGATGATATATGCTTCCTGATGAGAGAACAAAATATTACTATAGAATAGTTTTGTAAATTTCTATTCTCAAAAGTAAAGAAAACAAAATCCTTCTCTCCCCAATGAAGCTGAATATAATTAAGCCTTTCCACCAACTACTAGTTTATAGAAATAAAGAGACAGAGAAACATGATAAATTATACTATAAAGAAAATCTGGAGTAAACTCTATAAGACAAAGGACCTGGTTTCTTAAGTAT